GAAATCATTGCACAACTGCACGTAATGTAGAGGACTGACTAGGACAAAGAGCAGACTGAAACGTCTGCATGTAAGCACATGCACACGCCTACACATCAGGGCTGCCGGGAACTTAGTTCACACTATAAGTATGTTCATGTTTAAATATTAAAAGGCTGGAAAAACAAACAACACATTCACGTGATTTTACTTTAAATCTTCACAGTATGCCTAGATGACACTTGCCACAAATGTGATTCTTTCAAAATGATGTATTAGATGTCCTAAAAGTAGTTAAGTTCTAACATGATTTATTCTTTTTAATCTCCAATGGTTCTTTATTAGGATTACAGGCACCCTATGTAGTGAGCACGAACAGTGAAATCTACACAGTGTATTAAAAAAAAAAATCAACTTGTACTGTTTTCTTTGCTGTACTGACTTTCACATGAACTCCTAAGTAACAGATTGTGACCCCTTTCAGAATTCTTGGACCCCAGACTATTTGTCCTAGCGTGATTTTATAGTATATTGCTCATTCATTAATCATCAGTGACTGTTTTATCTTGGTCGCAGTGGATCCAGAGAGTACTGGTTGGGGCAGCAGTCATTCGAAGGGAACCGTGCAGGCACACATTTACACCTTGGTGACAAGTTAGCAAAGCCAGTCTACCTAATGGAGTGTTTTTGGGAGGTGGGACGAAACCGGAGAACGCTGAGAAAACATGGAGACACGACAAGAACATGCAAAAACCATGCCCAGTCAGTAACCTGAGCTGGGGTTATGATAAAATTATGATAATGCTTCTTTGGGATTTTCTAAACGTGGCTTCAGACATGCGAAATTTGTATGAAAGGTCACGTGCGATACAGGATAGAGAACATGGACAGAAACCAACCATACTGGCCATGTTCTTTGACATTCGTATGAATGTCTCACAAGATCAGGTTGGATATGCAGCGTTACTGCCTGTGTCAGTATAAAACGGCGCTCTCATTTACCCTCAAATGCATATTTTTAAATAATCAGCATTTTTTAAATGTACTTTGTCAAGCATTTTGACAGCTATGGTGGATATAAAGACACATACACAGAATACAAAGTATACCCAGTATACAAAATAAGTGTGTTATGAATAAACCACATGGAGCTTAACCGAATGTGGGGGAGGGGGAGAAAAAGATTTGATGAAAAGTTTTCGTCCACTTGGTATTTCATTATAGCTCTTTCAGTGAGTAATAATTACCTGATTTCTGCTAATCAAGATCTAAATCAGCTTCTTATTTTATGCATGCATTTCCAATTAATAAGTGGGTGCGAGATGTTTTGTGTACCCGATAAAAGATTTCACAGGCAAAAGGACCCAGATGTGGGTTGGGGTTAAAATTACCCATGAGAGAGATAATTGGGGCTTATCAGGTGTTGCTGGGTAGCACAAACAAGCACCCGAGGCCTTTGTGAAGTTGTCAGGGAACTGCATGTAAAACAGCGTCCATACTGAGGCCCCCGATTCAGGTTTCACAGCTTGTAGATCTCCAGTCCTTTTAATAGGTAAAGCAGATACGGTTCCTGTGCGGTAGCTGTACATTGGGTAACATGTCGCATGTTTGGCACACATTCTGAATTTTCAAAAGTCAGTAGCGTGGGGTACAGACCGCAGAAGTGAAGAAGCCTGCCATGATGTGGTTTTTCTACCCTAGTTTAGAGGGTGGTTTGTTTTTTTTTTTCTTTTCTTTTTTAACTTCTGCTAAATTAGTTTCCTGTCCCATACCTGGAAGACTCTGAGAGAGTGCCCTCCTGTCTGTCTGTCTGTCTGTCTGTCTCTCACTGTCTCTCTCTCTTTCTCTCACTGCAGTGTAACAGGATGTTAGTTCTGTCAGCAGGTTGACTTCCTTTGGCCTTTTTATAGTTCTGGTAGCATGTTCAGCTCACGCACGGAAACCGACATGGAGAATGTACGTTTTCAAATCTGAATCGGAAAACGATTAAATCATTCGTTTGCAAGAATAGAGTGTTTTTTTTACGGTTATATTTACACATGTGGTCTCATTCAGACCAAGATCTTTGTTTCCAGAGAAACCTGTTACAATAATATTGGCAAACACAGACGCAAGCACAAGTACACGATATAAATAATAATAATACGCTGTAGGTAGACAAGCAGGTAACAGATAAGCAGGTAAAACGTGTACAAAACACCATTAAAAGTGTGATCCTTAAAACTTGTGATCATTAAATGAGATTAAATATATAAATGGTGTGTCAGATAGGCTACAAAGATGAGCGAAGAAAAGTCTGAGGGCAGTGGGTGTGTTTGTGTGATTGTATATATGACTGTGTGGTTTGGGGTCTGCTGTCAGGGCTGGTGATGTCAGCAACTCAGCAGCTAAACCAGCCCATCAGGTTTCACACGCTGTCACGAGGCTTTGCTTAAGGTTCACTGAAGTGTGAAGCATATAGAGGCCCGCGATTTGAGAGCGAAACTTCTCAACTATATAATGCTTAAAATATCGCAGACGTGCTGGTGAAACAAATCCACATGTGTCCTTACAAAGAAAAAACATCTAACAGCAAGGTTACCAAGCAACAGCAAATCCAAGCTTCAAAGCCTCTTGAGTTTCACATGCTGGACTGCTTTTATTTTTTTAATGATCAGCTCCCACCTGTGGTTGTGAGAAACAAACCCATATCCACCAGCCTGATTGAAAAGGTTATAAATGCTCATCCGAAGTTCATTCAAACCACAATTTAGCAACATATACTGTTTGGCTTAAAAAGTTCAGACTTGTAGCTTTACATTTAAATTTGTTGGACTAAAGAATATTGAACTATATATTATTTAAATACTGATCAGTGCAAGGGGATTCAACTGAAATGTGTAAAAAGGTCTAGTGACATAAATTTCCTAGCTGATGAAGGTTCAGCTACGGCAACGACGACGGTTACATCTGACTGCAACTCACTAAAATATTCGTGATGATTTAATGGTTTTGTAGCAGTGCTTCACATGTCATCCGACTCTGAAGTAGAGAATGAACACATACTTCTATATCCATTCCTCAATCAACATTCTGTTTTAACACGAGAATTATTATTTTTGTTTTTTTTAAATAAGCCATGTTGTCAGCTTGCTCATCAGATTAGAAAAGGAAAATAAAATGAGTAATCTTTGAAAATCTTGTCTCTAGGACTATATATAGATTTTTGCTCCTATGATCTGCTTTCTGTGAAATTATTTAAATAAATGCATGCGATTAGCTGCAACAAGCCACAATTTTTTCATAAGTTTATCAGCTCATCTACAGCTCTTGGTTTTTTTTTTTTGAAGTACCGTTTCTGTCAGCTGAAATATTTTAGCTTGAATCACATCCGGACGACAGTCTGGCACTTAATAACATATTTACAGCTAATTCTGTATATACTGTAGATTGCCACTTGCTGATTTAAGTAAAGAGATGGAAGAGAGGCATATATATATATATATATATATATATATATATATATATATATATATATATATATATATATATATATATATATATATATATAAAACAAAATCTAAATCCATGTGGTTGTGAGAAATGAACCTGATTTACAATGCTGAAAGTGAACCTGAATAAAGCAATATATAGACCCAGCCTACAATTCACTGAATTCATTATGTAGTAGCCCATTGCACTAATGTAGAAAAAATCCATCTGTGTAGATAACCTTTATAATAAGACTATCATGCGCTGTTGTCCATCTTTTTCTTTTTTTTTTTCAGACTTCAGATCGATATGTCCGCTAAGAAATAAATAGTGTTTGTCTAAACGGTTGTCCGGCAATTAGCTTCTTTTTTTCTTCTTCTTCTTTTCACTTTGTGCATATTATTAAAGCGTTTACTTCTGTAAATGTTAAAAAAAAAATGTGTGTGTAAAAGTCATCAGCGCATCACTACTCTGAGGAATATCTTCTTGTTGTTTTCCTTTTGGTCATAATGACGTTTTAGCGATAATTCGATTGTGAGATTGAGATCAGTTTACGAATGTGTTTACGTTATTCAATTACTTCCCTTGGTGCAGACGTAGACTATTGTTCATTGTTCGATCTTGAGGAAATGGCTATAGTGACTCTGGGCTGCAGATGTGTGAGGGAAACGAGTGCAGCTGCACATTTCTGTCGGTTTGTCGATACTTTAGCCATGTGTCATGGTGTGCTTACTTTAGGTAAGTGTGTGTGTGTGTGTGTGTGTGTGTGTGTGTGGGTGTGTGTGTACTTGATAGATTAGTGTTTGTGTCAGTATGCGTTGTCTGTGTGTGTGTGCAGTCTGTGTGTGTGTGTGTGTGTGTGTACTATGCAGATATCTCAGATTCTTGTCTTTGGGTGAAGATGCCATTCTGCATGATAGAGTCGTCTCTGCAGCATAAAGAGCTGCTTAGCACAAGCGGATATTGAAATTTACTGAAAAATATGGTGCACTGTACCACAGCCCTGCTGAATTCCCACATCCGATTTGATCAGAAAGTGATGATTAATTTTTCACAACAGCGGCTTTGACGGTAGTTTTTCACAACAAGGCATATCACAGGGACTTGTATGGCGGACACACCACATAAACATGTTTAAAAATGTGTGTAATTGTTGACACGTTGATGTTTTCAATGAGAAGATTTTCTTGAAGCTTTATGGAAGGAGTCTCCATTGTCAGTGCTTTGTATCAGTCTGAAGTAAAGTTGTAACTTTGTTTTCCAACACAAGAAAGTTTTCAGGAAAGAGGACTTTCTGGTTTCTTAGTAGCAAGACAAACTGCATTTTTTTTTTGCCTTATTAACTTTAAGAGAGAGAGAGAGAGAATAAGTGAATGCCTGTTTACAGCTACAATAATGTAAGTCATAACTTTTGCAGATGTTCTGTAATATAAAACGCAACCCTAAATGCATAAATACTACAATCTGTCATTCTTAAATCAATTACAATTCTTAGCCCTGTCAAATCGCTGAGGTGTAATAGGAATAAAACATTTCAGGATGTGATGTTAGGCCGCGTGGTGGCTTAGTGTTTAGCACGTTTGCCTGACACGTCCAGGGCTGCGGGTTCGATTTCCTCCGCAGCCTTGTGTGTGCGGAGTTTGTTCTCCCCGTGCTTCGGGGGTTTCCTCCGGGTACTCCGGTTTCCTCCCCCAATCCAAAGACATGCATTGTAGGCTGATTGCTATGTCCAAAAGTGTCCGTAGTGTATGTGTGTGTGTGTGTGTGTGTGTGTGTGTGTGTGTGTGTGTGTGTGTGTGTGTGTGTGTGTGTGTGATGGATTTGCACCCCGTCCAGGGTGTCCCCCGTCTTGTGCCCCATTCTCCCTTGGATAGGCTCCAGGTTCCCTGCGACTCAGTAAGGATAAGTGGTACAGAAAATGGATGGATGGATGGAGGATGTGATGTTATTGGTTTATATTTCACTTCAGGATGGTAAACAGTGACGCAGTTTTATCACTTCACTCCATTGTTGATAATTTTCCTATACCAGCACAAACCATGTTTTTATGACTTACTTAGCAAATATTGGAATATTAGAGGAAATGCCAATTGCATGTCATTGTCTGTAATGAAATAGTATCGTGTCATCTATAAAAAGTATTCTGTACTACATACAACACTCTTTAGCTTTTTCTAACTCCGGATTAACTTATACATTGGTATAGATCATGTCCTTGATTGATCATTTTGCCTATCAACAACTGATTTAATGTAAATATATTGCCTTGGGGTCCTAACCGAGATGAAGAGAAGTGAGATGAGAGTCGACCATGTTTCATTTTAAATAGTCAAACTTTCAACAGCGACCATAATGAATAAATAGTCGAGAAGTTACTACACTCCACGTGAGTCACTCGGAAACACTGACCGTAAAAGAACCTATGATGTCGGCATTAGTGAAACTTATGAGTGCAAGCTATTATTAGGTTTTTCAGAGTAATTTCATTTATTCTAATCAATTGAAGCATTGTATTAAAAAGTTCTGTTCTGAAATTAAAACCGGTATTCAGGACACGCTGGCCTGAAAACCAGAAATGAGATCTTTCTTTATATTTGCCTGAATGGAAGCTTTTTTTTTTTTAAGGGTCGTTTAGACAGGAAAACTTTCATTTATTTATAAAGTTAGTATACGTTCAGTAGGACAAAACTGACCTGACAATGAATACAACCTTTTTCCATAAAATAAACTTTCTAAAAACATTCAAATCTTCTAAACCGTTCGAATGATTTCTAATTATTTGACACTTCGATGTCGCCTCAAGGTTTTCCTGAAGGTTTTCTGTTTGATTAGATTTTATTAGCGGGATGTGTGATACCTGGTAGTTGCGTGATTATGACCTAGTTTATTATCACTGCCATTATGGAAAAAAGACACCGGAAGTTCCATCTGCTGATACACCCTCCAAAACTACATGTTCATAATGATCAGTTAAAGAGCCGTTATTTTATTTTATTTTTTTCCATCTAGACAGGTAAAATTCAAATGATTGACTTTGATATTCAAATCCAGTGGCTAACACAAGGGGGAAGTTGAATGCGTAGTTACACTAACAGTGTTTACTCAAATAATAGGCCAGATTAGATAACAGATCAATAAATAGTAGATAACGGCAGTGTTTATTTGGCTGAGGTGTTAAGATAGGGCGTGTAAAACTACTTGACTGCGGCATTGTCAATAGTAAACATTTGTTGTTCGCAGTGTTCTGTTTGTTTCTCTATTGTGAGAAATGAGCATTAAAGCGACAGAGAGGCGAGACGTGTAGGGTGTCAGCACACGATAAGGGAGGAAATCAGGATGAACACAGATTAGCTGACGTCTCATTTCCTAGCATGTTGTGTTAGGTGTCTCGTGTCTGTCTGTCACCTTGTTTCTGTACTCATTTCCAGATAAATGGGGATTTTTAACTGGAGGAAAGTTTGTAATCTATCAGCATGTTGATCTAAATGACTATTCTTCTCCTTTATTTATACATGGCTTTGAACTGTTTGGTTTTTTTTATTCTTTGTACTTTGCCACCATTTTCACACTTTATGCATTGATCACAGATTTGTAACAAAGTAAGTCAGCTTTAAGTTTCCTACTCTACCTACAACATGTGGGCGGGTGTGAAGAACAGTCTGTGCCGTGTGTGTGTGTGTGTGTGTGTGTGTGTGGGTCTAGCATGGGTTTTGGCATGGTGAATGTTTTCACAATGGGGAAATTCCAGAGCTCTACTGGAGTTATTTTTAAATCTCCAACATGTGTGTGATCCACACAAGTCTGCGAGAAATGAAATGAAAATCCATCACACTTGCTCAACATCACGTCTGTTAGACGCTTGCAATTACACCTTCAAGCGGGATGGAATGTGAAAGTGCATTGAAACGATATCTCGACGCCTGGATTATTTGGAATCTTTTTCGAATATGGTATGATTTAGATAGGATTAAAACGCTACGGTGCATGCAGTTTAAGGAAAATAATCAACAACAGCCTGGTTTGCCGTGGCCTGATTTGAAATGGAGTTGTGACCACCCTAAAGTTGATCAATTTGCTATAACAGCATGTTCTGGAGTGTTTTATTTCTCTAAAAGCACAGCCTTTGAGTTTATTTAATTTTTATTATTAATCGGTTACTATAGAAACGACTACCATGAGAGCTGCTGTCAATCAACACGGTGGTATAAATATTGTTTAATGTGCTGCTATATGTTTGTTCACTGTCTACGCTCTTGTGTTATTCTGCAGGCAGCACAGAGGGACTTCCTGGGCCACCGAGACATGACTCCAGGCTAGGTGCAGTCTCCTGGACCCAAAATCTCAGACAGACAACTGGGTGACTATCAACAGAGACTATGGCTCAACAAACAATATGCATTGTAGACCCAACAAAGAGCAAGTACTCTCAGTACTACAACTCAAGCCTCATCAAACTGCACTATATCTGTGCCAAGAACTTGAGCGAGCAGGACTTGGAGGATCGCAGAAAGGACAGTGATGGGCACAGCTCGCTCAACATCATCTTCATCATCATCTGCAGCATCATTATTCTGGAGAACCTTCTGGTGCTCATCGCTGTTTTCCGAAACAAAAAGTTCCACTCGGCTATGTTCTTCTTCATTGGGAATCTAGCGTTCTCGGATCTGCTGGCTGGCTCGGCTTACATCGCCAATATATTTCTATCAGGCTCAAATACTTTTCATCTAAAGCCCGTGCAGTGGTTCATAAGAGAAGGGACTGTTTTTATTGCACTGGCTGCATCAGTGTTCAGTCTGCTCGCCATTGCAATAGAGCGTTACATCGCCATAACCAAAGTCAAGGTTTACGGCGCCAATAAGACCTGCCGCATGTTCCTGCTTATCGGAGCATGCTGGGTCACCTCGATCCTTCTTGGAGGTCTTCCCATTTTAGGCTGGAACTGCATCAACAATATGAGCGAGTGCTCGGCCGTTCTGCCTCTCAACTCTAGGCGCTACATCTGCTTTGTGGTGACCGTCTTCAGCGTCATCCTGCTCGCCATTGTCATCCTGTATGTCCGCATCTACCTGATCGTCCGTTCTAGCCACCAGGAAACCACTAACTCGGCTTCCTACGCCCTGCTCAAGACTGTCACCATCGTCCTGGGCGTGTTTATTGTGTGCTGGCTGCCCGCCTTCAGCATCCTGCTCCTTGACACCTCGTGCAGGATGTCCTCGTGCCCCATTCTCAGCCACGCCGACATCTTCTTCGGAATTGCGACCTTGAACTCGGCACTGAACCCGCTGATCTACACGCTGCGCAGTAAGGACATGCGGCGGGAGTTCCTGCGCGTGCTGTGCTGCTGGGGGATTCTCCAGAGCGGCCGGCCAGCTGAACGTTGCTTGATGCAGCTCAAGAGCTCGAGCTCGATGGACCACTGCACCAGCAAACATGAACATCAGACCACTCCAATCATGCAGGACTGTACAACTTTTGTTTGAACTTGGGGAAGGCGCACATGCTGTATTGGTAAAGGTCTCAGAGTGGTTTTAGTTCTGGAAGGAAGTTGAGGTATTCGTAGATTAAGCACGCGAACATAAAGACCCCTGAAGAATCATTCTGCTGTTATGCGATCAAAAGCGGTGACAGAGGTTTTGCGTGTTCCTTTTTACAAAGCAATCAATCCTGTGTGATTTTTTTTTTCTAATCACTTACTATGGACTCTTAGGAGCTAAAATCAAGTATTGCAATTGTGGTATGAACATTATTGTTATTGTTTTTACATTTGTCTAAGATGTATGACTTCCACTGAATGATTTATAATTGTTTTGATACCGTTATTTCTCACCATGTCATATTTAGCCGTTGGGCAATGACCAAAAAATCTTTTTTTCCCTTTTTTTTTTTTTTTTTGCACTTTTAAGCATAAATGTGATTGTAAGTATTTGTGACTGACCTCTGAGTCAGTCAAACTAACAAAGGCAATGTTGCATGCCCATGAAAAGGTGAGTCTTGGCATGACTCAGCAGACCTGATTCACAAAGAAAAGGGAGGTACTGAATCGTTACGCTCCACGGTGCACTCCTTATGAGCCATGGGTGCAAAACCATGCTATGTATTCCATTATATTCTCTTTAATTAACTACAACAAAAAAGCAATGTACTACACTTCATTATATTGCATGGCATAACCTGTGTACAAAATAATCTACGGTGTATTCATGTACAATTTCATCATTAACCCTTTTCATTCAGCCTCTCTGGCCTTTGCTTATGTTTGTGTGTGTGTGTGTACTGTATGTGTGTTTATGTGTTGTTGTTTTTTAATGAAAAGTGGAAAAGTGTTTCCTTTAAGGAAGCCACAAACAGAAAGTACATTTCCTTCAGCGAAATGGCACTGACACATTTCACCCGGCCTGCAGTAATCCCCTGGACTTGTCTTGACAACGTTGTAGCGTCGCTGCAGCAGCGTGTGCTTTCTGTTTTCTGTGCTCTCCTGTAACTGAATGTATGCATGAAGTGTTTGGAGCGAAATGCTTCCCCTTGTGACAGTATTACCGAACACTGATTGTTTTTCGTCCTGTTGATTATTGAGCTGTCGAAGACAATAAAGAGGGATAGGGGTCACTGTGAAGTCTTGAAAATGA